TTCAGACGTGTGCTCTTCCGATCTCCCCAAAACCCCAAAACCCCGAAATGTTAAAATGTGTCACAAATAAGAGTGAATTTAAAATCTGAGATAATAATAAATTAGATAAATGCTAAAGAGGTATCGATAAAATATAAATTTTGAAAAGGAAATATAACCACATCTAAAGAGCTCTGCTCATCTATTTTCAAGCACCTACGAGCTTAAGATAGTGCGAATGATGATTTTTACAAGGGACGGTGGATCTCTACTGTTAGATTTCAAGTCAGATGACACAGGGTTGCATTAGACTCTCATTAAAATTATGAAAGCCCGTCATCTAATAAAGTTAGTTCAACAAGCTAATGATTCTGAACATAACCGTAGTTACTCTATTTAGATTTTCGACTGTTTTATTCAAATAATTCAGGAGGAAAAATTAACAATACTTTCCGCTATCTATAACCCAACAATGATGGAAAGAAAGAAACATCTATTAATATTTTGGATGAAACATATGTGCAACTAAATGGAGTCTGAGTTTACACCGAAACTCTTTAAATGCGATGTTCCTTCTTATGAAATAACAGATCCTAAAAGATTCCGATACTATTAGGAAATATTTTCTGCATACTCAGAGTTATAACTAAACAAAATAACTTCAAGTTTCGGATCTTACGTATAAAAACTGTTATAGGAGGTCCTAGCCTAGAGTAAAGCTAGATATCTGTTAAGCAGACTGATAATAATAGAATGTAGTACAAGTGACATTATATTAGATCATTCATTTGTAAAAGATAGTGGAAGGAATGTCAATTTCTATTCCTCGAAGAACTTTGTTGAATTTATGGACTAATTCGAAATTTTACGTTAAAAATAAACTAAGAAAGGAATCATCTAAAATTCTCGTCGCCGCAGTGTAATGAGTAACTATAATAACCGAACATACAACAAAGAGACTCTTCAGCAGTTAAGCTTTGGTGCTTTCATTGTGTCTACCTCAACCTTTAAGACCCCTTTGGAATAGGAGTACAAAATCAGCTTAATTTTTGAGAAAAATCTAAAGAGAAAGCAAATGTTAGAAAAGAAAGCATTTTTGAGATTTTCACATAAACTTAATAGGAGATATGAAGAACAGAATATTCGTAATGATAAGTACTTTTAATCGATCGATTTTTTCAGATTCCTATTTGATTTCAGCCGTTCTAATCCGTTTTCATAATTCACTGATAGAGATCAACTCAATCAAATAAAAAATTAAATAAGACTGATGATGCTTCAGGCCCAGACACCTTTGAGCAAGAGAAAAAAAGGAGGTCTAATCTAAAGAAGAAAATTCGGAAGTGAAATGACCATGATGACAATGAATCCAATAAAACTCAATAGCTCACTCGTAGGAGTGAATGAACATTAAATTTCAAAGGATGGTGAATAGACAAACTTTGCGAAAACCAGAGCTAGTGGTAAAGCTGGATCTTCTTCTAGCGGCTTGAATTTTAATAATTAAAAAACAGATTTATTCAAAGCGACCCCAGAACAAAATTCTCCAAACACATCTGAAAGCTCATCCTCTAGCAGCAGTAGCTCTGATGAAGAAGATGAATCTAACAATGATTTAGATTAAAACCCATCATCTAACGTATTATTTGAATTTCTTCAATAGCAACATTCTTTTCAAACGGCTCTTTAAAATTAGAATTCTGGAATATAGAATATCACCAAAGATTTTTAGAGTATAAGGGGGCGTAAATCAGTATTCTTTGGGGTGTCAATGAGGGGTTTCCTTAGTGACCATGATGAGAGTTCCAATATGCAGTCTTAAAATCTCTCGATGGATGATCCAGTTTAAAATGAAATCTAGTTCTAACAGGATTTGAATGAGTATAAGCATAGTCTATATGATATGGCTAATGATACAATTATTACAATATCTTCGATATAAGAATTTGATAAGGAAAAAGATTGGTTATCAAAATAAATAGCATATGATTCCTCAGATTAATCAGATGGTAACAGAACAATAAAAGATCTAGCTTCTAATATATAAGTTGGAGTACCTTCCCCTGGTTTACTCAAGGTTTAAACAGGAGAAGGGATTTAGAAATAAAAGAGACCTAGTTTTAGAATCTAAGAAAATAGTTCAGCTATTTTACATCAAGCTAGGAATCAAAAGCGTCCCAGTATTATGATAACAGTAATGCCGGATACTAGTTTGAGTTAACTATAAGCTCCAAGACGCAAGAGTATGAAGGTTGTGCAAGTCAACGGACTTTCGGGTTTTAATAATCAAATAAACTTTGAAATAAGTCCCAGTACAACTTCAAAAAGACCAAGTCTGATGCTTCTTGATAATTTTCATCATGATATGAATTCAAATGAAAGTCCAATGCCTTTCTCTAAATTTCAGGGTATCCAGGAAAATGTAAAAGAAGAGGAAGAGGAGGAAATCGAAGATTTGATACAATAAGAGAATGATCTTATAAATAGATAGATCAGTAATAACAATAAAATGCTCATAATTAATACAATTAAAGAGGAATCCCAATGATGATTATCATAAGAATTTTTCATATTATTATCTAAAGTACCTAAATTAACTATTTGTACAAAATCATGATTCTTGATATTATATAAAGTATTTACGTTACCAAGGGATAATTAATTAGATATATATTTAAACCTTTTCATAATCTTAATTTAGATAAGCGGGGTTTTGGGGTTTTGGGGTTTTG